ACGTATGAATATGTTGCTCCAGTCGCTAGCAGTAAATGCATATATGTGACAAACTACACGATTCGGAGTGCTGAGAAATTAAAACCGTGGAGGAGAAAAGAAATATTTTAAAATCTCAAGCCCGATATTTTTTGTGTCTAAAATCTCAGCACAAAATTAAGCAGTGTAAGGAAAGAAAAAAATGTGCGAAATATGTAATAAAAAACACAATAGGTCTATTTGTTTAGATACCAAATCGGAACCCGAAACCAAATCGGAGAAAAACAAGGTTGTGTCGACAATTCCATCCAATAAAGAAGATGTTCAAATTAACCAATTAAAAACCGAAACTTTCCACAGTGCATTGCTACAAACGTGTACTCTGATGATACGTCCATTTTCTGAGAAGGATAATTTAGAACCAGTTCGTATTCTATTAGACAATGGATCGATGAGAAGTTTTAGAATTCGGGACATTTCAGAGAAGTGTAAATTACCTGTTATTCGAGAGGAGACTTTGTCCGTATTTGCTTTGGGGTTAACCAGGCAACAGAACAAACTCAATGTTGTGAAAGTTAAACTAGAAAACAGAAGTAAACCATCCCTAAATATAGAAATTGAAGCTTTAGAAACTAACCAAATATGTGCAAACTAATTTGCCTTTCCCTGATATCCCAGTTTCCAAAATTAACAAGAGTTAATAGGACTTACAATTAGTAGCTGATTCTTGTGAATTCAGTGACAAAAATATTGCTGTTTTGATCGGAGCAGATTACTATCATGAAGTAATAACTGGTAGACTTAAACGTTTTAAAAATAAACTTATAGCTTCCGAAACAATATTTGGATGGTGCCTTCAAGGCCGGACTGATTCTAACGGTAAATTGTTAAACATGGACATTATTGTTGACGACAAATTGGTCTCAACACAGTTAAAGCAGTTTTGGGAATTGGAAACATTGGGAATAGAACAAGGGAAGGAATTAGTAAAATAGATAATGACATTTTAGAGAATTTTAACAGAACTATCAAATTTAAAGAAAAGCGATATGAGGTTAAACTCCCTTGGAATGAAAATTCGTCTGAATTAAAAACGAATTACGTAAATGCAGAAGTTCGCTTTCAATAAACTGGTTTAAAAGGTTTGAGAAATGATCCACTGCTTCATCAGCAGTATCACTCAGTTATAGAACAACATTAAAAATGGGTATAGCTGAGGAAATTGATCCAAGTTCTGAAGAAACAGGAAGAATTTATTACATGCCTCACCAGCCAGTTATTCGACCTGACAAACCCGTGAGAGTTGTATTTGATGCATCCAGCCATTCGAAAAATGAATATTCTTTAAACGATTGTCTCTATTCCGGTCCTAATTTAAATCCACCATTGTTAGAGATATTAATACAATTTCGTACACATAGCATAGCATTTACTGCCGACACTGAACAGGCCTTTCTCCAGATTTCTCTGTCACCTGAAGATAGGGATGCTGTAAGATTTTTGTGGAGAAATAACCTTACAGATAAGGATGGGAAACCTAACACGAAAATACTTAGGATGACTCGCGTTTATTTGGAGCTACATCCAGCCCATTTTTGCTTGCCGCTACTATCAAACATCACATAAATACCTTTAAAGAAACAAATCAGAAAGCAGTTAAACTATTGGGCGAATGTTTATACGTAGACGATTTAATAGGTGGGGATGAAGACGAAAACGAAGCTAAACTCATATATGAAGATATTAGATATATATTGAAGGCTGCTGGTTTCAACATGCGAAAATGAAAACAAATTGTGGAAATCTGCAGGAAGATTTTGACGAATACGAAAATGGTGAAATCCCAGAAAGTTCTGGAACAGAGGTATTGGGATATAAATGGAATTACAAGGAAGACCTTCTGAAGATAGAATCACAAAATCTAACTAATCAAGCTCAAGGGAAAACAAAGCTAATGACAAAAAGAGAAGTTCTTAAAAACCATTGGAAAGCTTTACGATCCCATTGGATTTATAAGTCCATTCACTTATTAGGGCAAAAATACTAATGCAGGAAATTTGGGCAACTTGGAGTAGATTGGGATGATCGGTTACCATTGGACTTTGAAAACAGAATGAAAAAATGGATTAATGAACTGTTAGCGATTCAGGATGTAAACATTCCGCGACATTACTTCCGAAAGACTAACAAGTCTGAATTGAGAGATATTCAAATGCATTGCTTTACCGACGCAAGTCAGAAGGCATATGGAGCTGTGATATACCTGCGATACGTCACGACGGACAGTGAAATAGGAAGTAGTTTTGTCATTTCCAAACCAGAGTAGCTCCACTGAAGAAGCTGTCCCTTCCAAGATTAGAGCTGATGGGGGCGCTCATCGGAGCAAATTTAGCCTCGAATGTCAAAGAACAGTTAGAGAAAAAGACTCCAGATGAATGTATATTTTTGGTCAGACTCTTCTGTTACGTTACATTGGATAAAGGGCGATTTAAATAAATGGAAGCCATTCATCCAACATCGAGTAATGGAAATACGAGAGAAAACATCACCTGAGTCCTGGAATTATTGCCCTGGAGATGAAAAATCCGGCTGATATGCTGACCAGAGGAACAAAGACAAATTCCACGAAAGGAATAACGTTGTCTGAACTACGAAATAGTGACATGTGGTGGCATGGACCTAAGTGGCTATTACAGAGCATCGATTCGTGGCCTAAACTTGCAGAATCAGTAAGAGATTTCAAGGATCATGAAGAGCTTGAACTTCGAAGGGGAGCTGTAGTGAACTCAACAGTCACAGGTGAAAATTCCATTGAGAACGAATTCATTAAAAGGTATTCGTCATTTAGCAAACTGATTAGAACTACTGCATGGTGTTTAAGGTTTGCGAACAACTGTAGAACCAATACACCATTAAGAAAAGAAAGTTTTTTGAGTGCTTCTGAACTACAGAATGCAACAAAGTTGCTAGTCAAATGTGTACAAACATTCTGAATTTCAACCTGAAATTAAGTGCCTTCAGTCGAAACGATCAGTTCCAAGTAATAGCAAGGTTTTATCCTTAAATGTATTTCTGATGAAGATGAAATTTCACGAGTTGGTGGGAGACTACGTTACTCCAATCTTTCAGAAGACCAAACATCAACTTCTTTACCAAAAAGACATCATTTCACTGGATTACTCATAGATTATTATCACAAAAAATCTCTTCATTCGGGCGTTCAAAACAACACTTTCTCTTATTAGACAAATTATATACTGGATACCTTCCGGACAAGACTAGAGTTAGACGCGTTATAAGTAAATGCATGACGTGCTTTCGAACAAGGAACCAAACCATAAAAACAAATGATGGGAGACTTACCTAGAGATAGAGTTGTAATAACTAGACCATTCGAAAAATAGGACTGGACTTGCAGGTCCAGTTATCATCAAGCCTAATTTGAAAAGATCTAGAGTTACGTTTAAATCATACATAGCGATATTTATTTGCTTTAGTACAAAGGCTATTCATCTAAAGTAGTATCGGATTTGCTACTGAAGCATTTCTAGCATGTCTTAGAAAGTTTATTGCCAGACGATCTAACTCCATTGTTTGGAGTGATAACGCTAATAACTTCAAGGGAACGAAGAATTTCTTGATAAACTCTTTAAATTTGTAGATCGGATCCTATTCAGCGCTTAGTTCCGAGAAAGGGTATAAATGGAGATTTATTCCTCCTTCTTCCCCCATTTTGGCAGGTTATGGAGGTTAATATAAATCAATGAAGAGAATTTTGACAAAGGTAGGGAAAACGACAATTTTAAACTTTGAACAGCTGTATACATTAATTACACAAAAGAAGCCTGCTTGAACTCTCGACCTCTCACCTATTTCGGCTGATCCAACAGATCTTCAGCCTTTGACTCCAGGTCATTTCCTAATAGGAGCTCCACTTTTGTCGATACCAGAACCGAATGATTCTGTAGATTCTTTGACCCTTGTCTTCTAGATAACTTTAATTCAAAAACTTAGAGCTAATTTCTGGAACCGTTTGGAGCGTGGAATATCTTATCATTTGCAGAACCGCTCAAATGGAATCAGTGAGATTCAAGGCGGACAATTAGTCTGTTAACTTTCTAAAACCGGGCCGAAATTCATAAATTACCTTCAAAGGCGCGATCCGAAACGTTTTGTCCCCTCTTGACATTTTCCTAATGAGAAAAGTCGTGTCCCCCTGGTGACGTAAATTTACATGTTTGTCGACGCTTCGTCCCACAGTAGAGGGTTGCTAGATTTGCAATTTTTTCATGATTTTTTGCTTTCATTTAAAAAGTTCTAAATAATAGTGCATAAATAATATGCAGTACTGGATGCATATCTAGTGCACAATTTATTTAGAACAAATTAGCAATTTATATTTCACTCACTATTCTAATCAATCTCTAAATATTTGTGAATTTTTTAACTTTTTTTTTCACTCTCCCTTTTATTCGCGATTTCGTATTAAAATTAGAAAGCGAGAACAAAATTTAACAAAATATAGTAAAATACGAACTATATTTGTAAGTCTGCAGGCTGGAATGCGATTTTAAAATATTTTCATTAAAAAATAATGGTAATGACTAAAATGAAATAATAATAATAATATTTATTACCATTAGATGTTAGAATTAGATCATTACAATTGATTTTAGATGAACTTACAGCAAAATAAGCTTTACATAACAATAACAGAGATTTAAATCTGCTTTTTCGATAATTTTGTTATTATAATATAAAATCAAAATCCGAGATACATTGGTTCGTTAATCTTTAACTTAACAAAAATTCACATTGGACTATCAGGCAAAGAAGTATAGCTTTAACGAGAATTTTTTCTTTGTAAAATTGGCTTTTGTTTATGTTAGAAAAAAATCCGGGACCTATAAGCCATCATCAAAGGAATTTTGACAACAGTTTAAACGTTCATGAAGAAATTCTTATACGTCAATTCTTTTCATAGGTAAAAATTCATCTAAAACCATCGTTAATCCAAAGGTTGAAGTCTATTTCATTTCAAACCGAATAGCTATCGCAAATAATATATTTTCTAATTTATTTTAGAAGAAGTAATCTTTCACGTTTCAAAAGAATAAGGACTACGTGTTGACCAAGTAGTAAATCTGTTTTCATATTTCTTCCTAATTGAAAACGTTACCCTAGAATATTCAAAGCAAATTAAGAAAACCGTTACGTCAAATTTTGCATAAGTATCTTCCGCGTGTATTTTTTTTTAAAGTGTGGAATTTTCTCTTTGAAATATCAAAATCATGACCGGAACAAAATTTTCATGGAAAAAATTTGGAATGCAATAATTCCATCGTAATATGAAATAGTGGAGAAAAGTGCAATACGTTATTTATTCACACTAATCTCCCTCATAGCGTAATTAATGTACCGGGTGATCAAAAAGTCATATAAAATTGAAAACTTAATAAATCACGGAATATGAGATAGAGAGGTAAAAATTGACACCCATACTTAGAAATAATGGGGTTTTATTAGAAAAGCATAATCCTGAGAGAAAAAGCATAACAATTAAGACAAAGCAAGATGTGTTCTTAAAGGAAATGCTAAATGTTCACCATCAGTCCTCAACATAGCTGTAGCGAGGATAATGTTTGTGAACAGCACTGTAAGCTGTCCGGATTTGGTGAGGATTGGGCGTCGGATGTTGTCTTTCAGCATCCCTAGACATGTCGGTCGATCACATACACTTGCGCCTTCAGGTAACCCCAAAGCCAATAAGCGCACGGACTGAGGTCTGGGACCCGGGAGGCCAAGCATACGAAAGTGGAGGCTGAGCACACGATCATCTCCAAACGACGCGCGCAAGAGATCTTTCACGTCTGCAATATGGGTGGAGCGCCATCCTGCATAATATCGTACTTCAAAGGTGTTATCACCACGCTGGGGACGATGGATTCTGTACATATCGGCAGCCTCTCACCCGTCACGGTGCTTACAAAACATATCACGCTTTCCTCGACGAAAAAAGGCCCGAAACACTTTTTTTTTTGGTTCTAATAAAACCATGTCATTCTAAGTATGGTGTCAATTTTTACCTCTATCTACATTATTCGTGATTTTAGTTTTCAAATTTATACGGACTTTTTGATCACCGGTACGTCGATTGAGAAATATAGGTTATTAAATTAAACCGTTATTTCAATACTTTTTCTTTATCAATTTTTTTATGGGCTCTTCAGTAGAGCGGTAAAGGTGGGTGAACACCTGTAGCTCGCTTGGGTTTGAATTCCGGCTAAAGGGTTGTATTCATGGTTTTTGTGTAATGTAAATACAAGCCAGCTTCCCTTAGAATGTCCTCCGCGAAGGCATTCATCCATTTATACAGGTAATTGTTGTGTGTTTGATGCAATTCCGCAAGCGAACAAAATTAATGTAATCAAACCCGAAGAACGGGTTGATTACATGTGGAGTTTTCCATCAGGAATGTAAATGCGAGCAATTTTCTCTTTAAAGGTTATACGAAAGCATCCATCCCCTTAAGTAGATAGCGTTCGCGCTTTTCGTAATCCCATCCTAATTTTCATACATTTATATAAGTTGACATTCACCTTATTACAGACAAATAACAACCTTTT